TGCAAAAATTCCACAAACACATGGAAACTAAATAACACACTCTTGAGTAATCAGTGGGTCACAGAAGAAATTAAAGAAGAAATTAAACAATACCTAAAAGAAAATGAAAATGCAGATACAACTTACCGGAATCTGTGGGATGCAATGAAAGCCGTTCTGAGAGGAAAATTTATTGCACTGAGTTCCCACATCAGGAAAACAGAACGAATACAAATAAATAACTTGATGCTACACCTCAAACAGCTAGAAAAAGAAGAGCAAGTCAAGCCCAAAGCCAAAAGAAGAGAGGAAATTATAAAAATCAGAGCAGAAATCAATGCAATAGAGACTAAGAAAACAATCCAAAGAATCAACGAATCAAAGAGTTGGTTCTTTGAAAGAATAAATAAAATTGATAAGCCCCTAGCCAACCTTATTAAAAAAAGGGAAGAAAAAGCTCAAATTCATGCAATAAGAAATGAAAAAGGAGAAATCACTACAGACCCAATAGAAATACAGAGGATCATCAACACCTATTTCGAAAACCTCTACTCTCAAAAGTTTGATAACACAGAAGAAATAGACAGATTCTTAGAAGCATATGAAGTACCAAAGCTAGATCAAGAGGATATAAAACTGTTGAATAACCCAATCTCTGCTAATGAACTTGAAAAAGTAATTAAGGCCTTACCCACCAAGAAAAGCCCAGGCCCAGATGGATTCACTGCAGAATTCTACAAGAAATATAAAGAAGACCTAATGCCGACACTCCTCAAACTATTCAATGAAATTGAAAGGGAAGCAATCCTTCCTAAGTCATTCCTGGAAGCAAATATTACTCTAGTACCAAAACCTGAGAAAGACCCAACTATAAAAGAGAACTATAGACCGATCTCCCTAATGAACACAGATGCAAAAATCCTCAATAAAATATTGGCAAATAGGATCCAGCAAATCATCAAGAAGATTATACACCATGACCAAGTGGGATTCATCCCAGGAATGCAAGGATGGTTCAACATACGCAAATCAATAAATGTAATCCACCATATCAATAAAGCCAAAAATAAGAATCACATGATCATCTCTATAGATGCAGAAAAAGCCTTCGATAAGGTCCAACACTTATTCATGATAAGAACTTTACAGAAAATTGGAATAAATGGTCTTTACCTCAATATAATAAAGGCCATTTATGACAAACCAACAGCCAGCATCATACTAAATGGCCAAAAATTGAAAGCCTTTACTTTAAAATCGGGCACAAGACAAGGATGTCCTTTATCACCACTCCTATTTAATATAGTACTGGAAGTACTAGCCAGAGCAATTAGGCAAGAAAGAGAAATAAAAGGGGTAAAGATAGGAAAAGAAGAAGTTAAATTATCATTGTTTGCAGATGACATGATACTCTACATAGAAGACCCCCTAAACTCCATTGAAATACTCTTAGATACAATAAATAAATTCAGTAATGTGGCTGGATACAAAATCAATACTCAGAAATCAATAGCATTCCTATACACGAACAACAAAATTACAGAGAGGGAAATAAGAGAAACTGGACTATTCACATTAGCAAGCAAAAAAATGAAATATTTAGGAATTACTCTTACGAAAGAAGTCAAAGACTTATACAGTGAAAATTACAATACACTGAAAAAGGAAATTGAAGATGATCTCAGAAAATGGAAAGACATCCCTTGCTCATGGATAGGAAGAACAAACATTGTGAAAATGGCCATTCTCCCAAAACTGTTATACAGATTCAATGCAATCCCAATAGAAATTCCATCAACATACCTTATAGATCTAGAGAAATCACTCCTAAATTTCATCTGGAACCAGAAGAGACCCAGAATCGCAAAGGCAATTCTAAGCAGCAAAGACAAAGCAGGAGGCATCACAATCCCTGACTTGAAGTTATACTACAAAGCAACAGTAGTAAAATCAACATGGTATTGGAATCAAAACAGAGCCGAAGATCAGTGGAATAGATTAGAAGATACAACCACAACTACGAACACACTCAACCACCTTATCTTTGATAAAGGAGCCAAGCAGGTTCACTGGAAGAACGACAGTCTCTTTAATAAATGGTGCTGGAAAAACTGGCTCTCCATTTGCCGAAAACTAAAGCTAGACCCATGTCTATCACCATGTACTAAATTAAAATCTAAATGGGTCAAAGATCTGAATATTAAAACAGAAACACTAAATCTATTGGAAGACAAATTAGGTAGAAACCTTGGAGACATAGGAGTAGGTAAAGAATTCATGAACAGGACTCAAACCGCACGGGAAATACTTCCCAGAATCAATAACTGGGACCACTTCTTATTAAAAAGTTTCTGCATGTCAAAAGAAATCTCCAGCATAGTGAAAAGAAAACCCACAAACTGGGAAAAGATTTTAGTGAACTCTCTCTCAGACAAGGGCCTCTTGTCTAAAACATATAAAGAATTAAAGAAACTCAGACCTCCAAAATTCAAAGATCCAATCCAAAAATGGGCATCTGAGATGAATACGCAATTCTCAGATGAAGAAATGCAAATGGCAAATAAATACATGAAAAAATGCTCATCATCATTGGTCATTAGAGAAATGCAAATTAAAACCACACTGAGATACCATCTCACTCCTGAAAGAATGGCCAGGATCAAGAAAACCGACAACAAATGCTGGAGAGGCTGTGGGGAAAAGGGAACTCTCCTGCACTGCTGGTGGGAGTGTAGACTGGTACAGCCTTTGTGGAGATCTGTCTGGAGATTTCTCAAAAAGTTGGGACTGGAAGTCCCATTTATTCCAGCTATTCCACTTCTAGGCATATTCCCAGAAGAACTGAAAGCATCATACCACAGTGATATATGTGCACCTATGTTTATAGCAGCACAATTTGTAATCGCCAGATCATGGAAACAACCCAAGTGTCCATCAACTGAGGAATGGATAAAAAAGTTGTGGTATTTCTATACAATGGAGTATTATTCAGCTATAAAGAAGGATCACATTGAGATATTTATCAATAAATGGGCGCAGCTTGAGACCATACTCATAAGTGAAATAAATCAATCTCGCATGTGTGAATACCGAATAGTTTCCCTAATGTAAGTAATGATTCAAATATATAAAAATATGTGGTAATCATGATTCCCCATTAGGTGGCCTTGGAGCCTTATAAAGTTTTCACTCATTAATTAGAAAGGCTTTATTCTGGGCTTCTTGATTTGAAAATATTTGAAGCTAGAGTATATGAAGTTTTATCCAAATATTTCAAGGAAAAAGACACTATGGTAACTACTATTAAGTCAGGTTATATGGTGGTGAAGTACTAGGTTGTTGAAACAGTCATGCTGTGACCTCTATTGTTATATTGTTATGTCCTGTTTTATCTCAATCTCCCCCTTATTGTTTTAAAAAAATTAGTCATTTCTTATGTTTGTCTTAATTAAAGAAAAAATTCAAATAATTAGGATATATAAATAATAACTCTTTTTGATTTCCTATTAACTTGTTTTGAAGTCCTGTAGTGCTCCCACGATCTTGTTTTGACTGATTAGACGATTAGACTCTGTTCCATTCTATATGGTAGTATCAAGTTTGAAGACATAGGCAACTACTTTGAAGACAATAAGATTCACTAAGATACCCATTCTGGTTTGACTATTGTCTTCTTTGGAAGTCCTGTAATGTTTACAATGCCTAAGTTGTATTGGTCTTGTTCTCTACTGTTTTGTCCAACTTTATAATATCTAATGAGATAGACAATTCTTTTTAAGGAAACAAGGGACAACGTTGATAACCATAGTTGATAAACTTGTACTGTGTTCTACACCATGTGCTATGTCTATCCTTGGTATTGACTGACAGCTTTGTTTTGCCATATTTGACTGTATTCTCCCCCCCTTCCCCAAAAGTAATAAGCACTAAGGAGTAATGAAATCCAAAGGGTGTGAATTTTGTAGTAAAAAAGAGAGGGGAAGAAAAAAAAAAGAGAGCTCTAACGGATATAACAGCAAGTGTGTTTAGGGGTGTTAAATAGCTGACTGTATCAATGTTTGTGGATCATTGAACACAGATGTTTGCAGTCTACCTGTTTGAATGTCCACCTTGTATTCTTTGATACTGTGATTTGAGGAACTATTTTCAAGATGATAATATGTAATATACTAACAGGTGATTTCTTACTGTTATGGTTTTTTTTTGTTTGTTTGTTTGCTTTGTTTTTGTTTTGCTTTGTTTTGTTTTGTTTATGTAGTTCTGTATTACGTGTACCCTTACACCGCTTTGGTTTGTTTTGTGTTTTTCTCTTTTTCCTCTTAAATAAAAAAAAAAAAAAAAAAAAAAAAAAAAGAAGAGGAGGAGCAGGAGGAAGGAGAAGGAAGCGGAGGAGAAGTTGAAGGGGAGGAGAGGAGAGGCTAAGAGAGGAAGGGGACAGAGGAGCAATGGGAGGAAGAGGAGAGGGAGCGGGGAGGGGACTCCAGGTTCAACGTCTGCTCTGCCTTGCCATGAACTACCCTCCACCATGTCTGGATGCAACGAAGAGGCCCTCATCTGATGCCAGTGCCCTGTTCTGGAACTTTCCAGACTTTGGAGTGAGCTGCATCCTCTATCTAAAAATGATTTCTTTGGGTGATGATCAGATGGCAGTCACCTTCAGGGCCATTCTGTTCGGTTATGTCAAAGGCTAGGAGGCAAACTGGACCCGAAACCCAACCCGTGGCCCTCTTGTACCAAGAGGCAGCAGCCGCTCAGAGGAGGCCCCTTCTGAAATCCCTAACGGCTCTAGTGAGATCTCAGTCACAGTTTGTTTTGGTGAGCATTGGTGGTATAGTGGTGAGCATAGTGTGTTCCAGAAGAGTTTTTCCCCTGAGAAGATGCAATGCATGCATTGTGGGACCCCTTCTTGGGACCCCAGAGCTGCTACAGGGGATGCTGCACGGCCAAGAGCTCACTGGCACAGCCTCCTGTCCCCACCGCCTGCCCCAGGGCCCTGCCCTCCTCCCTCCCCCAGGACTCACCACGGAGCTGTGGAACTTGCAAGAAATGACTCTGGAGATTCTCAGCAGGAAAAGCAGGAGGGGGAATTTCCAGGGGTTGGTGGGGAACTGCCAGGGGGGATCCCTGGAGTGAGTGACTCCTCAGAAATTCAGGAACCTTCTCTGATGAGGGCAAGCATGGAGATCCTAGGTGTGAGGTGAGAGAGAAAAATACAAGCAGAGCAGAGCAAAAGGAAGCAGTTAAGACACTCTGCTGCTTCTCACTGCCGCCGGCCATGTAGCTCACCTCACGTACCCACTTGGAGCCGGGTATGGCTGGTCCCACTTGGCTTCGGAGCAAGCTGAGGCACACCAATCTGAGGCCATTTGACCCCTTACGGCCACAAATCAGGCCAGGACTAAGCATTGAACCCTGGCCGACCTGCTCCCCACACTGCCTGCCTCCGAGGGTAGTCCCCCCTTGCCCAGCTTCATCCGAAGTTGTATGGGGGGAAGCTGGAGCCCCGGCAGGCTCTTTTGCTTTTGGCTCTGGTGTTCCCAGAGTGGGCGTGGAGAAGGTGCAGGTGTGGCGCTCGGAGGACTGGGGCCCATGCCCCAAGTATCTGGAGAAATCTGTTATGGCAACGGAAAGGGCACACAATTTCTACACGGAGAACAAAACCACAGAGGGTTTCTATGGAGAAGTCATGTTGTCAGTCTCGATTGCCAAATGAGGATTTAGCAACAGGATGGAGGGAAGCTGAGCGGCTGGCACACGAGCAAATTCCAACAGTGCAAATATTCACATAGCACAAGAGAAGCCATGGCCAGGAGGGCACAGTAGCAGCCCGCAGGTACCCGAGAGGCACTGCAGCTCAGGCTGCAGCAGGATCCCCTCAGCAAAAGTGACAAAGCCACTGTGTGTGTGTGTGTGTGTGTGTGTGTGTGTGTGTGTGTGTGTGTGCATGTACACGCGCACACAGCTGAACCTCCTGCCAGTGGTGCTTGGACTTGGACCATGTTTGGGAGGGGAGCATGTTTCTGAGTTTTAGGGTTCTTCTATCAGCTGGGATTCAGAATCTTACCCTCTGGGGTCTCATTATCCATATCAGATCTGCTGAAGCCCCTTCCCCTGGAAGCCCTGTGCCTTGGTGGAGTCAATGATTCATGGAGGTGATGCCACCAACCACCCTGGATAGAGGAGGCTTGGCTCAGTGGTCGTTCAGACTCCTCCCTTGAGTTGACCTTCTGGACGCTCGGATGAAGAGGACAAGATGACACCTGGGCCATGACACCTAGTATCATAGTCAAACTTGGAGATACAGGGCTTAGAGATTTGGGAAAGGATCTCACTAAGTCACTAAGCTCCCCAGGCTGGGCTTGAACTTGCAATCCTCCAGTCTCAGCCTCCCAGAGTGCTAGAATTATAGTTTCCCACCACCATGCCCAGCTATTTATGTTTCCTAGCTAAAATAAACTTGATTTCATTCTATGGGCTGGTATGAACAGAAACTGAAGGTGAAGACATGTCACTCTGGACTAGCAAGAGGAAGACTGGGGACAGTTATGCTATCACATGTGGCTACAGGCTGCGCATTTCAGTGTCCTGGAAAGCAGATATGCTGACTGGTTTTCTGGCACTGTACTAAATCTAACAAAACCAAGTTAATGACAAAAAAAGGTTTTTTTTGGCTCATCATTTAGTCTACAGTTGTCTGGTTGCCTAACCCTGTCACTTCAGGCCTGAGGTAGCACATCATGGTGGGAGCACATGATGGTAGAGGTTGTTTACCTCATGGCAGCCAGAAATCAAAAGATACAGAGGAGGAAGCCCAGGGTCCCGATATTTCCTTCAAGGCCATGCCCCCAATGACCTAACTTACTCCCCCTAAACCCCACCCCCTAAGGGTTTGACCACCTCCCTGAAGCACCACAAGCTGGTGACCAAGACTTCACAGCCAGGGTTTTGGAGGCGCCTCCAGATCCAAACTGTAGCAGCAGGAGCATGTCCCAAGAGTTCCCGAGGGTTGGTCTGTGTCCCCGTAAGGAAGACTAAGACGCAGGCATAGGGGCTCTGGGGACCACTGAGGATTGCCTTGGGCTCTTTTCATTTTAGCAAGCTAAAAAAAAATTCTGGAGCATGGATTTGAAATCATCATCAATCCCCAAGGCAATCAATTGTCTTTTACCCAGTGCCTGAGCAGCGTAGGAGATTACAAACTGGGTCCCCACAGGGCCGTGCTGGGAACACAACCATGGCTGTCAGGACTGGGCTTTTGGTGAGTGGCCAGCCTTGTTCAGGGGGAGAAATGCTGGCTCATAGATGCCACCATGGGAGCATGCCCCCCACCCCTTGGCCCATGGGCTTGCAGCAGATGTAGAGATTGCCTTCTTCAGGGCCCAAGGCAGGCTGTGAGGAGGAGGAGGAGGTGCTGAAGCAGAGCCAGGGACTGTGATGAAGCTTCCCAGGCAGCTGTGCAACGGGAGGGCGCTGCAGAGGTCCAGGCTGTGTGCTGTTTTCTGGGAATGGCAGGAATCTTCCCAGGGGGGTAAGCAGGGGACCCCAGGAATGTGGGCTGGCTGGGAGGAGAATGACTATGAAGAAAAAGGCCCACCCCTTTTCCCCTGAGGTCTCCTAAGGCAGTGTCCCCAGCCTCGTGGGGAAAGATGTCAAATTTGTGCCAGCGTCTGGGAAGCAGAGACTACAGAGTGACCACAAAAGTCATCCGACTGAATCCATTCAGCCCAGACTCTCCCTTCTTCCACAGAACTGACTTTATCCACCCCCCTCCCACCCTTCCCTAAAATTGGCCAGGACTCTGCTGCTCCCCCGTTCCTGTGGGTTTGGGGGACTCTTGGGCTTTTCCCAGTGTAAGAATGGAAGAATGAGCTGCCAAATGTTGCCTGGAATCGGAGCTCTGTGCACGCAGAGCAGCGAGGGAAGCAATGAACGCGGACGAGTTTCCTCTGGACAGCTGTGCCTCTACTCTATAAAAAAGTGTCAAGCTCAATCACCTAGGTTTGGGGCTGTTGACACTAAACATCTGGATCTCTGGACAGGCCCGTAAGACGCCAAGATGCTACACTTCCCACCTGGAAGCCTGCCGTCATCCAAGCCTGCCTGACTCTGGAGGGCAAGCACCTGGCCAGGCCCAGCCCACTTCCTCCTCCGGGGGTCTCCGCCTGCTCCCTACCGACAGACACACGTGTTCCCGGGGCCCCCAGCCGGGGTGGGAGGGGGCAGGGCCTCCCAGCCTGTGCTGGCCTCTCTGGGCTCTGGTAGCCTGTGTCCACAATCAGAAACTGGGAGCTAGCGGCTGCTCCCTGGATCATCTGAGGCACAGCGGTCTGCAGTGTCCTTGTCTTTCTCAGGGACCTTGCAGCAGGCAGTGATGGACAAAAGCAGATTGGCCTTGACTGTGAGGAGTGGAAGCAAAGCTCCTTGGGCTTTGCTTATGGAGGGAGAAATTCAGTTACATTCAAGGATAAGCCGCGTGGCTAATTGCAAAGGCACGAATTCCCAGACATGGGGTGTGCCTCTGTGTTAGTGCGCATGCGTGTGTAAACTTACTGCTTTAAGACGCAGCCAACCAATACTACCAACCTCCCCAATACTGTTTGGTAAGAAAATGACACGACTTAGAGACCGTCATGTCTGTCAGTTTTTTGGAGTGAGATGTTTCTATTTGTCTAGCCAAGATGGCCAAGAAAGGCTGACCAACTCTCTTGAGAGGTAAAAACCCCTCCCTCCCTGGCTGGCATCAAAGGCACTAGTCAGATGTGAGTGAAATTCTTGGAGGAAGATCAGAATAACAGTGCTGTGTTTAGTTCCTCAGTTGGTTAAACATGGAGTTAGGTGCTACCCTGGGACCCAGCAGTTCTACTCCTGGGGCTGTATCCAAGAGAAGTGAGAACATCTGTCCACACGGAGGCTTCCACAAGAGAGTTCATGTTAACATCGTTCATAAAAGTGAAAACAGCCATCGGCAGGTGAATGAACACGCACATGTGGTCTATTCATACAGTGGAATATTATTTGGCAATTAAAAGGAACGAGGCACTGACACACACTACAACAACACTGTGAGAGAAATAAGCCAGACACAAAAAGATAAATATCGTATGATTTCATTTGTATGCAATGTCTAGACCCAGCAAATACACAGAAGTAAAAGTAGAATCATAGCTCCCCACATCTGGGGGAGAAGTGAGTGCTAATCAGCATGAAGTTTGGGCAGTGACAAGCATATTGTGAAACTGACTTGGTAAAGAATGAACAGCTCTGTGACTGTACAAAAGCCACTGGACTGTCTCTAAATGGGTCCGCTCTACAGCCTATGAATTATATCACAATAAAACTGATTTTTAAAAAGGCAAATAGACATCTGCAATTTCAGCAAATTTCAGGACTTAGGCTTTCTCGGAGTCCAGCTGGTTATCCACGCAATCAGCCCACGCAATTAGCAGGTTTAATAATTGACTGAATGTACATTAGCTGACACCCAGATAACTGGAATAAGAGCAAAACAAGACCGAAACTGTTACCAGTGCCAAAGGAGATGACGGTATAGTACGATGATACTGGACAGAAAAGGCTGAGACTTTCCCATGAGGAAGGAGTGAATGCTGGTTATCTGAAGTCTGGGTTTGGATTCATGAGGTAGAAGATGATGGTTGCTGTGCTGAGTGGCGTGGGCAGATGACCCAGCCTCTCTGGCTCAGTTTCTTCCTTCACAGAAGGGGATGGCGCAGGGTTATATAAGGGTTAAATATGTAAAATGTGTCTAGACTGGAAACAGCATCCAGCATGTTGCACGATGTCTTGTTATGATTTGATTTCTATTTCAGGGCCTCAGGAACGTATTTCCACAGCCTGTATCCTTCCCTTTAGAATCTCTCGCTGTCTCACCTCTATCAGGTCCTCATCGCAGGACACGATGCCTTCCATGCACCCTCACCAGGATGTCTGCGTGTCCACTGCCCAGTGCCGTTTTCCTTTCTGGTCTTCTACCGGCAGAGCTGTAACATCTGTATGAGTTTGTTTGCCATCTTGCTTCTTCCCAAGCATGCGCAGCAGTACCCAGAGCCTTGCTGGGCTGGAGGCCTCGGCAGGCATGAGCAAAGCAATGTGTAGACCTGCAGGGAGCAAGGGCCGTGCCTGGAGGGTGGAACCACAAAGTCAGAGCGTCCGTCATCAAGCGTGTGTCCAGGCACCTGAATCTGCAGTCCTGGAGGTACAGAGGCCAAAGCTCCACTCAGAAAAGCACTTCTGCTTTTAGCTAGAGATAGAGCAGACTTCACCTCAGAAAAGGTGAAGCTCTTCAGCTCTGAGAAGCCACCATCTGTGGCCACATCAGTGAATGCAAGTCCTGTTTCAGATAGAGCAGCAGAACACCCCCAGGCTCTGTCTCCTTTTGCAGGAAGGAGCAGAGGGACAGCAGGCCTGGGTGGATCCAGCAGAGCTTGTTGCTGGGTTTCATCCTTCAGACCTTGGTCCACGGAGCTGCATGAGAGTCAGGAAGCTGAATGTACGTTTGCTGGGCTGTCTGATATTCCAGTCAAGACTAGAATGGAATTTAAAATGTAAAAGCTGTCAGTAGTGGCGAACCTAGAGCAGTGATTGGATTGATGCCCTGCAGCATCTTGCACGGAGAGATCACAGCCAGGTGCCCTCAGCTGCTGCCTGTGAGTGTGGAATCGCCCTGGTCACTTACAAACAGGAGGGCTATTAAACCAGCTGCTCCTAGGGGTTTCCACACTGAACCCCTCATGGCTG